GAGGTTCAGGAACCGTGACTTGAAAATTACTCACTAAACCTTTCCGGTTCTTCTCTTCAAGTGTACATGTCCTTCTTTTTCTGCTGTAGCCAACTGGCGGATCGCTAAGTACTGTAAACTAATCAGCTCATTTGAAGACAACTTCCAGACAGTTGTGTTTCTTTTCACATTCTTAAAGCATGTTCAGTGTCATAATTTCATTACTATTCACTCAAGGAAATAAAAAGTACATCGTGGTATGGTTTCTGAGGTATAATCCGCCTAGTGAAATTTTCTGCAGCACTGAAATACATCACCCAACACTCTATATTATTTCTGGAAAGTGTGGCTACCTAAAGTCAACAGAAAATTAGTCAAAACCAAGTGATACACACAGTGTGGTGTTAAAAAATCAGAAGACATTAGAACATTGCAAAGCAAGATTATAAACAATAACAACCGGAAAACGTTCTTGATCCTGATTACTTAAAAACGGGTCAAGCTGAAATTAAAGAGTCCTTGAATACGCACTTAGAGGTGTCCTCATCTTCAAACTAACTTGGAATCTTAAAGCGAGAATCATCATATGTCTAAAGTACGCACTTTAAGCAGCCTTAAAATACGCTCTTTTAATTGTCTTAGGGTGAACATCTCAAAGAGCATTGAGGTGTGCACTATCTAAAGCCTAACAGAGCGCGCTTGAAAGCGTCTTTAAGTGCGCTCTTTAAGGAACCTGAACGTCCTCGAACCTGATTTAAGGTTCATTATACTTAAAAGAAACCTTCACTTTGTGATATGAGGAGTCTTTTAAGAGTCTCGAAGTTTGCACTCTAAAATGTCTTTAAAGTACGCACTATAATTTTTTTTCTATAATGCACGCTATAAGTCGTCATATAGTGCGAATTTTAGAAAGTTTTTCATCCAAACTCGTCTGAGAGCATTTCACTCAAATGAGTCTTGAAGTGCGCACTCTTCGGAATCTTGGGAAGGGTGGACATCAAATGGTCTTGAAGTGGCACTTAAGAAGGTATTAGAGTGAGCACTTTTATAGGTGTAAAAGTACACTCTCTAATTTATTTTGATAGCTTATGAATCGTGCGAAAAGTAGCACCAGCGTAGACATATATAACAGTCTTCCATTAAGTTAAATTTCAAACGAGACGAGTCAATATGCGTTGTTGCTGATAATACATACAAATGCTATGAAAGAATGATTTGGGCCACTTACATACACCTTCAGTTGCAGAGGATTTGGACACACTTAGGGGACCTTCCCCTTTCGCAGTTGAAAGCGAAACTTGGAATGAATACTCAGTAGATTCCTTAAGACCAGACACAACTTCTTGATAAGTGATGGGATCCTTAACAGGTGTTACAACCTTAGTATCCACCTTCCCATCGGAGTATGCGTAGTAAATGGTGTATCTGGTTGGAATTCCGTGTGTGGATTCTTCAGGAACTGCCAACCATTTAACTTGTATGCTAGTGCTGTTCAGTGTTTGTACAGACACTAATGTAGGAGCCGTAGAAGGCACTGTAAAAAAAAGACAGGACATTTACTTATTATCATTTTTTTTCTCGCATCTGTTATGAGTTACAACTGGAAAAGCTTTAAGGCTAATGAGAGATAAATTGATTCCTTAACAGGAGAAAGGGGGACTTTTATTAACACTGGCTACATAGCGAAAGCAGAACTTGGGAAGCAGATCGATCTTCGCATAGTTGCTGCACTTCGTTACTGTTTAGCATCACTGAAAATTGGGGATGACTTTTCATACTGATCATAGGCAAATCCGCACACTTACTAAAGGCAAATCCGCACATAAAATTATGTCATAAATCAGAATCTTCTGCTCTTTTTTTCCAGAGTTTTAGCCGCTGAGGTATTTATCGAAAGTCTTCTTTTACTTACCATCCTGGTCTGTGCGGACCTTGATAGGATCACTTGCTGGTCCACTCCCTACATGTGTAGCAGCTGAGACCTTGATGTCGTAAAATGTGTACATATTAAGTCCCTTTAGCTCAATAAACCTTCTAGACATTGGTGTAATTGGTACTGACTTATAACTGATATCTGTCATCTTTTTGTACAATATAGTATAGTATTCGATATCACCGTGTTTTTTGTCTTCTGGCACCTCATTCCATGTAACTCTAATGCTGGTCGAGCTGGTGTTATAACCTATTACATTCTGAGGAGGTGCACTGGGCCCTATGTAAAGACAGAGAAATATGGAAGTGGCGATAGATGTTCAACACTATCTCCGACATACGAACAAAAATTTAAGGTTATTTCTGTCAATATACCATACGATGGTCAAAAATTAAACTCTTTGACTCGAATTTTGTCTCTGTGACTACTCGGAGGTAAATCCCACTTGCTATCATATTGACTAGTGTCATATTCAACAATTGATTTTAATCAAGTGAAATGCTTGAAATAGTACGCCTCAATTGTACATCTCCCGCTGGATTTAACCAGTATCTTAATGTATCCATACGAAAACCGTTCTACTCGATCGGAAGCGGACCCAACCCGATCCTTATGATGTTGTCGCATCTTACAATTGGTTAGAGAAATCAATATCTCGTGAGTTAATTTTCAAAGGTTACGTAATTGAAAAATACGAACTTACTGTCTTCTTTTGTTCTGAACGTCTTTGGGCTGCTGTAAATCCCGTCGCCCTTGATTGTGGAGGCCAACACACTGATGTTGTAATACATGTCCTTTGTTAGGACGGTCAGGTTGACCTGCCTTGTAGGGGCCTTTACTATAATCGTATATATAGGCCCAGCAGATCCAGCTTCTGGTATCGCCTGATAGCTGACGTTGTAACGAATAATGATACCATTCTTTTCATAAGGCAAAACTTCATCCCACATGACAAGAATGCTTGTTGAAGTCGCATTAATTGAACGTAAGTTAAGAGGGGCAGCACTGGGTTCTGTAAATCGATGGCATGAAAATCGTTATTTCATATCTTCACCATGTTGGCGGCGTCACGGTAAGATAATGAAAGGCCATTTGCTGAGTCTTGGAGTTAAATTCGTAAAGGAAATTCTCGGATGCTTTGAAAGAGATATTTTACTTTAAAAAACATCAGAAGATAAGAAAAAACCGGAGAGAAAAACATAGATAATAACAGATGGCGAGGATTAACACGGATTAGAACTGACGAAATCTGAAAAAAAGTTTTGTGGATGCTAAAAAAAATAACGTTCGTCCTAGTCAAAGGTGGGTCTTAGCCCGAGAGAGACAGCTAAGAAATTAAATTACAATACCTTCCAGCTATAAATGGAGGGTAAACACAAACAGCAGTCTTAAACGTGGACGGGAGAGGTTGTCCAGGAACAGTACTTACCATCTTGGTCTGTACTAACAAGGATAGGGCTACTTTGTGGTCCATCTCCTTTCGAAGTCGACGCGAGCACTGTGATGTCGTAATCGACGTACTCTCTAAGACCTGTTAATTCCTTTTGACGATCATAGGGGCCAGCTATAGCACTCCCATTGTGACCCTCTGTTAGTGACCGATAAGTAATGGTGTAATTCGTGATGATACCATTTTGATCAAAAGCTGGAACATCATCCCACTCTACTAAGATGCTGGTTGAGCTGGTGTTATGTCCTCTCACATATAAAGGAGCAGCAGCAGGTTCTAAAAGGAAAGTTCAAGAAACAGGCCTTAAATTATTTCAGAGGTAATTTTTAAAACAAATGACTTGTGGTAAAACCATTACAGGACTCGGATAAGAGTGTACTCCTGACTGTTAATTGGTCAATTAATAATGGTAACTGAAGTGAGCTAAATGCAATTTGGTGTCAATCGTACCCGTGATTTCAAAATTGAACGTACTGAAAACGATGATTTCGGAATAAAATTGAACACCAAGATGCATTACCGCTTTACTAGTTTATAATAAGTCCAAACCTCTCCCTGCCATCATTCAACGACTGTAGGAAATAATATTTGTCCGTATTTTTCTCCACACAATGGCTTCGGCTTTGTGATTAATTTTATTGCAGTTTGACCATTTCACCATTTGAAAGCGAGATGGTTTATTTAAGGAAGAGAGAGAGGTAAAAAATATAAAATGAGAATCTTTTTTTTTTAATTTGAACGTAACAGGACTTTCATTTTTTTAATTTCGACTGAGATAAAGAGCTTTCAAAAGACATGGAATTTCCCCAAGCCATCAGTGACAGTTAAATTTCTTTGAGGTGCAATTTTTTAAACCACACTTCGAATTATTACCATCTTTAAAAGCAATCAGCTGGAGGGTGAACGTAAACATTAGTCTAAACCCTTAAACCTCTAAGAGTGATTAGCATCTAATTTCTCCTTACAGTTTCACCCCTGAATCAAACAATTAAGTCACAAGAATAGAGGAAACGATGGCCAGTTAAAGAAGCTGTCGATTGTTCAACTAGTGCTCCTTGTCAGCACCTTTGCATATGTAAAGGGAACAGTATGGAGAATATGCATACTGATTTTGGATGTAAACCATTTACCACAGACAAGAGATTTGGAAAAGAGCAGTACTTACTATCCTCGTCTGTACTAACAAGAATAGGGCTACTTCCTGGTCCATCTCCTTTCGAAGTCGACGCAAGTACTGTGATGTCGTAATCGACATACTCTTTAAGATCTGTTAATTCCTTTTGAAGGTCACTGGGGCCAGCCATAGCACTCCCATTGTGACCCTCTGTTAGTGACCGGTAAGTAATGGTGTAATTTGTGATGATACCATTTTGATCAAAAGCTGGAACATCATCCCACTCTACTAAGATGCTGGTTGAGCTGGTGTTATGTCCTCTCACATATAAAGGAGCAGCAGTAGGTTCTAAAAGGAAAGTTTTAGAAACGGGCCTATAATTATTTCAGAGGTATTTTCTAAAACAAATGACTTGTAGTAAAACCATTACAGGACCCGGATAATAGTGTATTCCTGACTGTTAATAGGTCAATTAATAATGGTAACTGAAATAAGCTGAATGCAATTTGGTCTCAAACATACGCGTGATTTCAAAATTGAATGGACTCGAAATACGAGTCCGAATTGAAA